CTTCCTGCTAATTCACACCCTGTAAGGTTATGGCTCAAGTTCTTGGGTTCCTACCACCCACATGGGGGACCCAGGTAGAGTTCCTGGCTCCTGGCTTCAGACCCGTACTTAGCTGTTGCAGGCATTTGGGGAGTGAACTAGCAGATGGAGTATTCTGTGGGTCTCTGTCCCTGTCTCCTTTCTCTCTCTCTTTCTCTCTGCCTTCCAAATAAATATATTTGTAAAATTTGGTTTATTATATTCTTATATTTATTGTAGAATGTTTTTTAGATAAAATTCCTTGGTCAAACACAAATACTAAGAATATTTTCTCTCAGTCTGGGACTTGCCTTTTCATGTTCCTAGAGGTTTCTTTTGTTGAGCAAAATCTTTTCATTTTGATGAAGTGTGATTAATGTATTCTTTTATGATTACTGCTTTTTGTGTCCAAGAAATCTTTGCCTGCCAATATATATATACTCTTGTGTTTTCTATGAGAAGTTTTATATTTTAACTGTAGGCTTATGGTTGACCTCAAATTATTTTATATGTGATATGAGATAGAGATTGAGATTGATTTTTTTTTTTTGGTGTTCATTTGGTTTTTGTTAGCACCATAAACTTTTCATTCTCCACAAATTGTTTAATTTCCAAGTAGTTGGGGCTTATCTAGATTTTTATTAGTAATGATTTCTAATTTAATATGGTAAAAAATCATTATCTAAGATTTCAAGGAGCCAGTGTTATGGCACAGTGGGTTAAGCTGTCACTCGAGACACTAGCATCTCATATTGGAGTGCCAGTTCAAGTCTGGCTGCTTTGATTCCAATCCAACTCACTATTAATGCACCTAGGAAGGCAGAAGAAGATGGCACAAGTACTTGGGACTCCTTCCACAACATGGAAGACCTAGATGGAGTTCCATGCTGCTGTCTGTTGCAGCCATTTAGGGAGTAAACCAGTAGATGAAAGATCTTTCTCCCTGTGTCTCTCTATCTCTGTCACACTGCCTTTAAAATAAATAAAATGAATCTTTAAATAACAGATTTTGAAATATATTTTGATTTACTTTAAGGCTGAGAATATGGCCTATCTTGGTGATTGTTACCTTTGCATTTATAAATAATTTGTATTTTGAAGTTGTGACGTGTAGTGTTCTATAAATAATAATTAGATCAAGTTGTTTAATAGTTCTGTCAATTACTGAGAGAGAGAGGTGCATTAAAATCTGCAAGCATAACTGGACTTACCTACTTGTCCCTTTAGTTTTGTCAGCATTTGCTTCATGTATTTTGAAATTGTATTAGCTACACACACATTTATTATTGCTTTGTCTTCCTGATAAAATGATTCCTTAATATGAGATGCTCATCTCTTTCACTAGTAATACTTCTTGCTTAGAAGTCTGCTTTGTCTGAGATTAACAGTGACACATAATTTTTACTTACTTATATCTATCATGTATCTTTGTCCATTCCATTACTTTGAATCCATCTATAGGTTTTTGCACTTAAAAGTATGTCCATTTTAGACAACATATAACATTTTCTTATATTTTTATGCAGTCTCTCTCTCTCTCTACTTTTTAATTGAGAGTTCATTTCATCTTTATTTAATGTAATTAGTTATATGATTGGATCTAAATCCATCATTTTCCTATGTGTTTTTTCTTTGTCCTTTCTGCTTTTTTCTCTATGTTTCTTCCTGCCTGCCTTTGTTTGGGTAAACTAAGTATGTTTAGTCTTCCATTTTAATTCACATAATTGTTGGCTATTCCTCTTTTTAAAACAAATCTTTTCTTAAAGATGTATTTATTTTAGAGACCCTGTTTTCCTTTAAATTCTTTAGCACATTTGTCATAGCTGCTTTAAAGTTGTTGTCTGCCAGTACTGTAAATTGATCCCTTGGTATTTGTGGGGCATTTATTCCAGGGCCTAATACAGATACCAAAATCCCAGGATGCTCAAACCTCCTATATAAAATGATATATTATTTGCATATAACCTATGCATGTTGTCCCGTATACTTTAAATCACCTCTAGTTACTTTTAATACCTAGTGCAATGTAAATGTCATGAAAATCATTGTTATACTGTACTGTTTAGGGAATTGTACAAGAAAAACTGTGCATGTCCAGTACAATTGTAATTTTTTAAAGAATATTTTTAATTGGCCATTGATTGATTCCATGGCCAAAAAGAACTAAAGAATTTGGATTATCCTGGAGTCTGTTTCTTTTGAGTGCTTTTTCTCTTAACTTTGGATCACATTTTCCTATTTCTTTACATGTCTACTAATTTTTTGTAAACTGATATTATATATGATCCCTTCTAGAGGCTGCATAATGTCATCCTTTAGAGAACATTGATATTTGTTATAGCAGGCATTTAAATTGCTGGCTCAACACCTCAATTTGTGAAGGCTTAAGTTTACATTCTGTTAGAACAAGTTTGTTTTTGTTTTGTGCTTATCCTTGGGGTGAATTCCAAAGTCTTTCTTGCTGTAGCCTAGCTTCTTTTGGAACTTACGTGGAAAGTACAAGGCTTTTACCAAGTCCTTCTAACTCATTTGAATCGTATGCCACCTCTGCCTCCACTCAAGTGAACTTCCTGCCCAGCCTTTCAAATCCAGCTGGCCACTGGGCTCCTTGAAGCATGCACAGTTCAGAGTCTGCCAAAGGACTCATATCAGTGGATGTGCAGATTTAGAGGCTTCCAGTTCAAAT